CGCAGGATCATCTGGAGACAGCAGGAGTTTATCCAGTCGTCCAGAGAGAGGCCAGGAGCTGCGGTAGATCCTCTTCTGTTGGAGACCGCAGGATCATCTGGAGACAGCAGGAGTTTATCCAGTCGTCCAGAGTGAGGCCAGGAGCTGCGGACTCTTCCAGGAGTTTCCCCAGTTCATTGATGTGAATGTTGAAGAGGGTCAGTGATAGTGGGCAGCCCTGCGTCACCGAGTGAAGAACTCAGTGTGTGTATTGCCGATTGTTTGAGGATGTTGTTTTTATAATGTTGTACGTTTTGCCCCGATACCTGATTCTAGAAGTTTAGAAAGAAGGTCTTCATGCCAAGTCGAATCAAGGCCTTCTGGAAATCTACAAAGCAAGCGTATCTTTGTGTTTTGTTGAGGTTGATGTATTTATCAATCAGCGTCTGCAGGGTGAAGATATGGATGAAGTATGATTTCGGATGTCGTCTGGCCAAAGCCTGAATTTGATCCATCAGCTCTTTCTCTGTGATTGGGTAATCTAGTGGATTTTGGTGTTTGCCTTTGGTGTTTACTTTAATTTTTCATATATTTGTGTTTGTTTTATATTGATGTCTAATTTGCTATTAATTTGTTCAAAGTGATTTTTCCAGGTATAGTAATTTGTTTCTTCTTATTCAGGAGATTTCAGTTGTTCCAGAAACAGATTCTTCAATAGATTGCAGCTGATTTTGGATGTACTGTTCTTTCTTCTTTCTGAGTGTATTTTTATTTTATGAAGCTCCTCACAATAATGCAGACGTAAATCTGAATCGTCTGGTTGTCTGTGTTTTTGATTTGCATACGGTCTTAATTTTGTATTTATTCTTTTATTTATTTTTTTCTGTATTCTTCTATATGATGCCCCCTGAATCTCTCCCATGTGTAATTTGCTCATGTTTTTGGGACGAGTATTTACTCATTAACTTTAATCATGTATGTCTTTAACTCACAGACTGAACACCAGCAAACACTCTGTGTGTGAGTGTGAGTGTCTCTCTCTCTCTCTCTCTTTCTCTCTCTCTGTGTCTGTAATGGGTTTTCTGTTCCTCCTCGTTTAATTTGCAGAATAAATGTACTTTCCTATCGTTGCGTGTCTGCTGTGCTCTGGAGGACAGTATTAAACCACTGAATTAAACACAAAGCAAATAATAAAGTGAAACACAGACAGGAGAAAAGAGTTTCTGATGCAGCCATTACAGAGGTTTAATGGGGATCTGAAGGCTTTTCAAACTCAAACGCCATTAAAGTCTCCAGCGCTGCTTTCAAATGCAAATGTGTACAGAGCACCTAAAACACACGTTTGACCCGAGAGAAGAACTGTGTGTCCGACGCGTTTAAAATCACCTCCGCAAACACACACTGATTAAACGCTCTAGAGTCCGACTGAAGTTTAACATATGACCCCTCGCGTTCACCGTAGAGAGAGTCGGAAAAGACCACAGCCGTTAATTAATGATCTTTTCACTTAATTCATTATATTCTTCAGTGCCAATCTCTATATTATTACTGTGTCAATAACACTGTTCTTCTTTTTGCACTGTGTGACACTGCAGATGTTTTGCCAATATGAACATAAAACACACAGATTATAGAAAAAGAATAAATGTGGGGCGGAACTTAATTCTGTGTGTCAATTGTTGATTGGATGTTGAGATGTGGGCGTGGCTCTCAGAAGTCTATGCAGATGAGTGAGGGCTTAAAGGGGTGGAGCTTAAACGCACTGAATGATGGGAGATCCTGCATATGTAACCAGAGAGACTGACGCTTTACCAGGTCATTAAACACATATCACATGTTAAAGTTAAAGACACCTATTTGTTTAGTATGATAATGTGTATGTCTGTTGTTTGTTCTCAGAGCAGAATTCATCCAAACAATCTTGTCCAAATGTACAACCCAATTTCCTACATTCATACTAAACACACTTCATAAAACCGTATTGCATATTAAAGAGTGATAGCATTTCATTAGTTATTTATCTAGCTATAAATAAATCACTGCACAGTGTTGCACATGGACTTGTGGGAACATTATCTACTAAATATAAATCAATGAAAGAAATTCCAGAAAGAAAACTCTTGAATGAAGGAACTGAGAAAAGAAAACACTAAATACACATGTGTACAAGCATACAGTTCATCCCCGCCAATTACAGTTCCTCTCGTTCTTTAGTCCCAACACACGTGTGTGTGTGTGTGTGTGTGTGTGTGTGTGTGTGTGTGTGTGTGTGTGTGTGTGTGTGTGTAAATATGACTCCCCACTGCGTAACAAAGCCCTGCTCTTGTCAGGTGTGTTAAGATAAAGACAAACACCAGCAGCTCAACATCTGCTCTCTGACGAAGGACATTCATTACGACCCGCAGCAGAGACCAGGAGCGACAGCAGGAGTCTACAAACACACACACACACACACACACACACACAGAGAGAGAGAGAGAGAGAGAGAGAGAGAGAGAGAGAGAGAGACCAGGAGCGACAGCAGGAGTCTAGAAACACACACACACACACACACACACACACACACACACACACAGAGAGAGAGAGAGAGAGAGAGAGCAGGAGCGACAGCAGGAGTCTACAAACACACACACACACACACACACACACAGAGAGAGAGAGAGAGAGAGAGAGAGAGAGAGAGAGAGAGAGAGCAGGAGCGACAGCAGGAGTCTAGAAACACACACACACACACATTGTAAAACGCTGTGTGTGAAACCGGTAGCACATATACTGACTTAACTGAATAAGAACCTGGCAATCGAATCATGAACCCTACATATGTAGATCTAGAAATCAAAAAAACAAAGCCTCTGCCAAAGCCGTCCTGAACCAAACGAACATTCAAACGAACGAGACGAACAAACGAACGAGATTCTGACAGGTGCATCTCATTCGGGGGAGGGGCCTATCGTGCTAAATTGGCTCATTAATATGCTAATTTTATATATTTCAGTGCATCGCCATCACAATCCGGTGAGGGGACACTATCAGTCATGACGCTGTATGGATGGATGTGTGTGTATAATAATCACAGTGATGCAGTACCGTCTCTGTGAACCAGCGCTGGACCGATTGGCGTGTGCGCGTGTGTGTTCATGCTCCAGAGATCTTTTCCTGGTTATATTTATAATATTTACATGAAGAGCCTAACGTTGCACCTCATTCTGGTTTAGCTCGTCCTCATGTAGTGTTTAACACAGCCATCTGCCGGTAATTTACACCAGAGACATTTGCTCATAAACCCGCTCTAATCCAATCAGCACGAGCCACTGCACATCACTCGTGTCGTTTAACTGATCGCTCTTAATGTGCACCCTTAATCTCTCGCCCTCCTGCTCCACGCAAATCTGATTTTACATCTGTAATTACAGAGAGAGAGGCCTGAGATCTCGCGTCTGACAGGCGGGAAGAGCAACACACACATGAAGCTTCATAAAACACTCGTTTCCTTAACACACTCCAGTCATTTCTGCACTGCTGGAACACAAGAATCCCTGAAGAAGGATTGTTGCCGTCAAACACATACTGGGTCAACCTCTAGTTCGTTACTGTAATCAGTCTCGAGGAATCATGTGGCTTTCTTAGCGGACACGGACCATAAGACACAACAGAACGCAACAGAGAAGAACATAAATCAACAGAACGTGGGTTTAGATATTGGCTATTTTAAAGACGCAACTTTTCTGAGAGGGTTTTAGTTCTCAAGATAGATGTGCAACATTAATGAACACAACGCTGAAGGTTAATTAGGTCTCATGGACCAACACTGAACAACCATTTTACAGCATTTACTAATCAAACTTTGTTGATTTATAAATGTATAACAACAAATATTATAATAGTACATGTAGAAATCAGCCAATATGAATAAATGCACTAAAAGCTGCTTATTATTAGGTCATGACACTGAATAACCTTGAGTTAGCGGTCACTAACACACACCACTGGGTCAGCAAACACAACACGCATCAAAAGACGTGACGGAGCGACACTATTCAGAAGAACTACTCCATCCTATAATACCATTTGCTCGTCTCATCAGAACGACTGTAGAAACATGGACCTCCATCTCAGTTGCTCATCTAACACACAACGACTGCAAGCCCGTTTAATGAGATTGTTCCCGCTGTGTCATTAACTCGGCCCAATAACTCGGTTTTGCCCACAAGCCGCTTTACATTTTCTCAAATGCATCGACACAGAGGGAAGGAAAACGCTTCTCAATATCCACGAGGACAAATGCTTCCTGCGGTACTCAGGACAAACATGAAAGCATAGAAACAGGAATATACACCCCACCAGGAGAAGCAAACGGATGAATCGTGTGTGTCAGATGTCTGTGGGAATATCTGTGAACGGGCACGACTAAACACAAACAAATCGCACTTCTTTTCTTAAATAATAAACATCTTTCAACATCCATACGTAAATATAAATGCATATTTGATTAGCACGTTGTGCTCACTACAGTATTGATCTTAAATGGAGAAAATCCATCCACTAAAACAGGAGGCATGATTCAGGAACGAAAGACAGAACGAGTGTGAAAATGAAAAAAGAACGGGATAATAGTGATAATAGGTGAAGATAGAGAGAAGGAGAGAGAGAAACCGAAGACAAGAGAGGAGAGTAAAAGCAATGGGTCTGGAGGAGAGAGTAACAGACGAGTACAAAATGGATCTCGCCCAAGAAATTGGGATTGCTTTCTGGAACTGAAGACAGCGAGTGATTGGGAGAGGATTGAACGAAACTTGCTTTAGAAGAGAACAAAATACAAGAAGCAGCGATTCATCTAACTTAGAACCTGAACACGAAACCACCAGAAGTGTCCATTCAGAACAGCAACTGCGAGAAAGAGAAACTTCTTTCAAAGCGTTTGTCAAAGGTTCCCTCAGCACAGTCTGAACATATCAAAGCAATGCCACGAGCAGACGAATGAAGCACGTCAAAACACACAGGCTCGATGAACGGAGGCTTACCTTCTTTGCAGTATTTTCCCCGGAAGCGTGTGTGAGAGCAGTCGCAGTGGACCTCCCCGAACTGGACGGTGCAGTATCCTCCATTGAGGCAGGGGTTCTGCTTGGTGCACAGATACTCCAGGTCGTTGTGAATGCCGTTGCTGTTGAGAAGAGAGGGAGGCATCTCGCCCACCTTCAGGTTGGAGATCAGACCCATGAAGGGAGGCTCGTATTTCACCGTGCTGGACGTGAGCGCGGACAGGCGTACGTCCGGGGGAATCCCCCCCACGAAGAGGTCGCTGACGACGGCCATTTCTTTGCGCTTGGAACGGACTTCAGCCACTTTGGTTTCCCCGTCCACCATCAGCATGGTCTCGCGGTAGTTTCGGGTGAGCAGGACCATGTGCCAGCGGTCGTCGTTGACGCGGGTCTCCATCTGCAGGCTGGCCGGTTCGGCGCAGTGGATGGCGAATCGGAGCTGAAGGTGTCCTTCGCCGATGAGCAGCTCCAAGAAGTCACAGTTCCCACCGTCGTCCAAGTACAGAACCAGAGCCTTGCTCACATTGGTCTTCAGGCTGAAGCTGAGCTCCCCGATCGATCCTGCTTCCCAGCGGGAGTAACGCGCCCACTGGCCGGGAGCGCCGCCAAACTCCAGGGCCCCTGCCGACAGCAAGAGTCCAGCTAACAGCAACGGCCACAGGGGCCGGAGAGTGGACCAACACCGAGACTTCATTTCACCCGGGCCTCCTCCTCTGAGACAGCGGAGCTCCTCGTGACTCTATGGGGAACAAGGGGGCAGACGGCTCAATTCCCAACGCTACAAGATCCCACACGCCAATTATTCACTCTCTTTCTTGCCCTGCTCCTCTTTATCCAGACTCTATCCGTAGTCTCTCCATTGGTCGGTGCATCAGGCTGGAGGTGGATGAGCGATAAATGGCTCCCAGTTTAGGTTCTCTCGAAGATTTCAATGCAGAGATCTGGCGTCCAGTGGACCACGTGCGATGGTCATGGTTGAGTCTTTATCTGTGATTCATGTTCTTCCGAACGGCATTATTCCCACGGCAGGCCCTCCAGATTCAAGCATTCTCCAGGCCTACAAGACAAAAGGGAAGATTTGATTAGCTCAGCAGCAAACACAGCCTCCCTAAACACAAGCAGACAGGGTCATGGGTTGGAGGTCACCCTGCTGAGCTGCAATCCTTCATCTGAGCAGACACTGATATCTGAGGTTCGAGAAACCCTTCACACCCGCCTGTGGCGGTTTGTGTGCAGTGCAGAAATGCTACGTTTAATCACGGCCAGTTTTAACCAGCCTTTAGAGACCAGCGAACGCGACGCTCTGCCTGGAAATTGTGAAAATGGCAGTGGTGTTTCAAGAAAACAGCCCAATCGCTCAGCCAGACATGTTGGGTGAGACGAATTCATTCTCGGTTCCAGACACTCTATCATCTCTCGTTACGCTGATGTATCTTAATGAAGATCTGTGCTGAACGCTGATGTTTATATTACAGCGCTGCTCTAATCTCATCTGAAACAAAATGGAGTCGCTGCCTGGAAAGCCTGATTGCTGCTCTTGACCCGCCGGCCTTCACGAAGACCTGCCCATTATTTCTGAAGAGAGAATTTAACTGCCACATGAAGCGCTCACAATTAAACACTCGTCGCCTATCAGCCCTTATTTGGGGGAACTATTCCTCTCACTGCTCGTGATTCTCCTCGTTTGGAAATCACTCTGGATAACACAAATAAGCAGAAAAATGTATTAGACCACTCTCATTGATTTAACCACACCCCCTCAGCCATCCCGCCGATGTGCACAGGGCCATATTACGCACTGTGTACACAACGGTGTAGTGTATGAGTTTTATAAGGTTATTCTGTCATCCAACATCAGCCTCTTCCCCTTAAAGTCGGGATCGTTGAGTGCATGAAGTGTCCAACACGTTACCCTTAGTTAACTGCATCATCCAAGTGTACTTTTTCTTTTTGGAATTTCCACTTATTACACTGTTTGGACTTGCAAAACTGCATGGAAAGGTAATTGAGACGCACCTGCATAGCTTTACACGAATTTCAGCTCAAATGTTTCCATGTCTAATATAGGCTAAACATTCATTAAAACTGCTGCAAAAGGCTAGGTTAATATTGAGCGACCGCACTGAATAAATCCAGCCGTGTTGAACGCCGAGCCATTTATCAAAGGGTCAGTGATTGTCAGATGATGATAATGAGTCTCTTCATGCACATGAATATATAATGTCCACTTCAGAAATGGCAAAGCACTTACTCAACTCAACCACGCGCCCCGTGGGTCACACTGCTGAGAGTGTGTGCGACTGTTGAAGAGGATGTTTGGGGAAGTTTGTGTGCGTGTGTGAAACTTAAACATCATCTATCAGGTCATGTTCTGGTTCTGTGACCAGTGGATCTGCACTTCTTCTCCCACAGGAAACACTCGTCACTGATTAGAACACCAGGCCACAGTGTTGTGCTGACCTCTGACCCTTGCACTGAAAACCACACAAGGAAAACAGACTTCTGCTGAGAAAGCTCCGATTTTTTGGGTTCAGACAGTTTATATCGTCATGTTTATATTGTTCATTTTTTTAATTGAACACAGATGCTATGGTAATAACAAGAATGTAAAAATATTTGTCAAGCCAAAAATATAGTAAGAGAGAGATCTGAATTTGTGCATCTATCACCATGTATCATAACTGTGGCGTTTGTAAGTGATCCTCCGCTGTGTCCATCACTAAAGCCACATGAGAAACAGCTGTAATGTCATTCATTAACAGCAGCTCATTAAAAGCATCTAGAACAGGCCATCTGACGCGGTTCACAGTCACACACTTAAAACTGACATTCATTCACACGGACAAACTCCCCCGAGATGTGGACGCTGGAACAGAACTCAGTCGGACTGGTGGCTTCATGTCATTGCCAGTCTGTTCGGACTAGTTTATGCGCTTCACCAGATGAGCTTCAGGGATTTCAGGTAAAATGTTTCTGTACATCATGAGAAAACAAAGTGAACTGTTGCCGTCCACTTGAACACAGACAGAAACTGTGTCTTCCAGAAATTGTTTTGGACAAGAATAAGATGCGAAGTGAACCCGACTCACGCCGATCATAAAATCTCCTGTTCTGATTTTAAAGCACACACTCTCTCTAGTTTCCATCGGAGTCTGTGAAAAGGAAAGAAGGCATTACCTTCTAAAGTATTACCACCTTCACTAAAGTTTTGCCTCTCGCACACCAAGAGCCTCAAATCTGGACCTTATTAGAGTCTGATGAGGAGCGAGAGAATGTGATTCATACAAACACACCTCTACCCATCATCACAGGAGGAGTACACACTCATCAACTGGATGACATGTGCAAATGAATTAATCCAGTCATCATTAAATCTCAGTTTAATACGGATGATTCACGACATCATCATCGAATAAACCAAAGCTGTTACACTGTCAATACTGGGTTCGTTTCCCATCACTGATCTCCAGCTCATTCACACACATTCTCATGTGATCCCGCTGTTTTAAAAGCGTGTGTTGCTGTGTGCGAGAGAGAGAGACTTCTTCACAGATACTGACAGCTGTCAATCACAGAAGGAGAACGAGCCTTGTGAGAGTGTGAATAAACTCTCTCTGACTCGTCATGTGTCAATGTGTCCTCCGTCTGCAGGTTATTCATATGGCCAAGCTAATACTGAGACATATAGAGAGATGGGGCTAGTTGTCACGAGGTCTGGGCGACAAAACAACAGCAATAATTATCGTGATATCATTTTTATAGATAAAACGATAACAAGTGTTCGATATAATGTTTATGAAATGAAACTGACATGAAAAACCTGATTGTGAATGTTTTCGGCCATATTGCCTAGCCCTAATAGTCTGTATCCCAGTAACATTACAAAGATGACATCAAGACAAGAACTACAAGAGTTCAGCTTGTCTCATATTTGATGACGTTGGCATCATTGATTGTGTTATTTTCATGTTTATTACTGTGAAGCTGTTTTGAAACCGTTTCTATACAGCGCTATAGGAATAGAGCTGACTTGACTTTGATCGATGGGCTTGTGATATAGGGACTGAGTTTGTATAATTGCTCTCTCAAGCTGTGCACATCTTTAAAAACGACACAAAAGAGAGAACCAAAGTTTTGCAGTCAGTAATTCACTCAGCTTCCTCTTCACTATAAACCCTGAGCTCCTGCACACGCATCACTTCCTGTCAGAGGAACGGCATGAAGGTCATGAAGGCACACACACACACACACACACACTGCGCTGATAAGACTCTCCCCGGTGTATCTCTCATCACACAGCGCTGATAACACACGCCAGGGCACTACACAGGGGATGAGGGCATGAGCTGGACCTTCAGCACTGACACATAAACGCTGGTCTCAGGTCAGCAGTGGATCTGCCTGCGTGTGACAGCAAGGCGAGTTTATTTATATAGCACGTGTCATACACAATGGTATAGGCTATTCTCAATACATATGCTGCCACTCGTTAATATTATAAGAAAACATGGAATTAATTTCCACTGTTACGCTGACGACACTCAATTATATATTTCATCACGAGCAGACGAAAACACTAACTCATCTAAACTGACAGAGTGTCTCAAAGATAAAAAATGCTGGATGATGTGTCATTTCGTGCTATTAAATTCAAATAAAACGGAGGTATTACTTATTGGTCCAAAAAACGACTCACAAAACCTCTCACAATACAACTTTAATTTAAAAAGATGTCCTGTTACTTTATCCACTACAGTAAAAGACCTGGGTGTTACACTGTTTCTGTTTATCCCGAGGGACCCTCTAAGGTGGACCTGCGTCTGGACTCATCGGCACTGATCCTCAACATCTCGTCTCCAAACCGGCGTGATTACTTCATCTTACAAACACATGGAAATTAACAAATGCTCTAAATTATCTGATCCAATCTGACTTGTAGTTCTGCCCGACTCACACACTGTTCCCTCATTGGCCAGAGGAGAACTGAGCCTGGGTTCTCCCAAGGTTTTTTTCTCCATTCAATCGCCTGATGGAGTTTGGGTTCCTTGCCACTGTTGCCTTGCTTTTGGCTTGCTTAGTTGGGGACATTTAATACTCAACAGTATTATTGTTCTGCCTTACTTAAGGTGGACATTGACGCAATTTTCTTCTAGAAACAAACTTGTTGTATTACTTTCATGTTATCACTGTGAAGCTGCTTTGATTCAATCTCTATTGTAAAAAGCGCTATAGAAATAAATGTGACTTGGCTTGACCCGACACATCACTGAGAGCTGGTATCAGTTGTTTTTGGTTGACCTCGTGCTGATGGAGGAGGGAAGGGTGAGCTGGGCCCGCAGGCTTTGGTGGTTGTGGAGCCTGCCGTTTTTTGATTGACATCTCGGGACTTGCAGCAAAAGAGTGGGAGTACGGTTTCTCAGAGCGGTGCAGAAGTGCAGCAGGAGAGTAAAGAATAAAGAACAAGTAAAGCACACAAATATAGACAAAGATCTTCCTTCGCACAGGCTTGTGTGTTTAAAGGGGGGGGGGGACTGCGATTTCACTTTTTTTGATTTTAAATAGTGTGTAATGTTGCTGTTGGTGCATGAACAGTATCTGCAAAGTTGCAGCGCTGAAAGTTCAGTGTAAGCAGAGATATGGTCTTTTAAAAATCAGGAAGTATAAATGCCTACAAAAACGACTGGATTGGGACTACAGCTGGGTTTAGACGTCACTAACCCACACATTTGCATCAACCCTCCCTCTGGAATATGCAGGAAAGGTACTTAGTCAACAATGGATACTATTTATGTTTGATTATGTTCCTGTAAATGACGATGGTAATCTAGCTCTCTGTGCTGCGCGTTTACGGAAGACAGCTTCCAGAATCTCCACGAGTCCAACACCGGATTCAACAAGAAACTGTTCCTAAAACATGAAGCAGTTCCAGCTTTAAAACCAGAGGCAGCAGTTGTCGGGCCACAGCCTGTAAGTAGGCTAAGACTTAACCATTTTAAATGTATTTGCATGTATAATTTCAGATGTAATGTTTTAGTTTTGTCAAATGCCAGCGCTGGC